AATTTAAAATCCTACTGTTAACTTATAAAGCTCTAAATGGTCAAGCTCCGTCATATCTTAGAGAGCTCATAGTGCCATATTATCCCACCAGAACACTGCGCTCTGAGAACGCAGGGTTACTCGTGGTCCCTAAAGTCTCCAAAAGTAGATCAGGAGCCAGAGCCTTCAGCTATCAGGCTCCTCTCCTGTGGAATCCCAGGCACACAGGGCGAGCAGTCCAGATGCACCCGCCCCCAGGGGAAACCGCCCGGCCCCGCGATCCCCCACAGATCCAGGGAGCAGGCCCGGATTCAAGGGAGAGAAGGTGCACCTAACACATGCTTAAGGCCTTGAGTTCTGATGAACCGCTGTGGTATATTGTGGTGAGAGAGATAGAGGGATTAGGGGTTACATCATTAACAGAAACACGTTACATATTACACAACACTTTTTCTTGAGTTGTAATATTTATACATGTATGTACAGGTGGCATATGCTCACAGGCTGAGCACTATACAGACACATTTAGTGAGTGGATGAATGGTGACTATTTTTCTGTAAAGTATGTTAATTGGTTTCTGTGGCTATAGCCGATATTTTCTCCAGTGAAATATGTTCTGCATGTAGATTCATCCAATGGTTGATGTTGAGGGTCTGTTTATCTTTCCAATTGACTAGGATTCTTTTCTTGGCGATGGTGAGAGCTACAAGAAGAGAATTGCAGTGGCTGTTTGGGAGGTCAATTGTCATCAGGTCACCAATTAAGCACAGGTTGGGAGATAATGGGATCCTGCAGTCCAAAATGGAGGAGAGTTTTTGAGTGACTGTTGACCAGAAGTGCTGGATGGGTGAACATAACCAGAGGGCATGAAAGTAGGTGTCTGCAGTGTTCTGAGTACACTGAGTGCATATGTCAGATTGACTGAAGCCCATTTTCCCATTTTGAAATTGGTAAATGTATAGAACTGGTCTCTGACAGTAATTTATAAGTCTTAGAAAGGTTCTTTTTATTTCTCGGAGAAAGCTTTGTAATATGTTTGGCAAATTCTGGTGGCTGCAAAGTATCCTGAGGCGTTATGAATCTCAGCTAACAATCACTAATAATGGTTAAATGCATTAGACGTGTCATAAGCCTAAGCTCGTTGTGTCGGGTGCTCTCAGTGAACTCGATGCAGACACTGGATGTTTTCTGTTTAGATGCTGGAGCATTGAGGAAGTGCTGTTGTGACATGCTAACAGTATTAAACACTGAACTGTTTCATTTCAACTTGTAATGATCCCACACTCCACACTGTCTGCACTTTTCTTTGATGTGTCTCCTCTTTTTGTCTCTCGCTGATTTCTCGTCCGTCTTCCTCCTTCAATTCCACACTTCACATCCACGTTTCGGCTGCACAGGCTATCAACAGCCAAAGTAACATCAGGGCATCGTGCAACAGAAAGAACCATACCTGTGAAACACAGTGCCCTGTATAGTTGGAGTTAACAAAGCCTTGAGGCTTTTTAGGGATCAAATTATTGGAGTTACTCGAGGAATCATTTCGGCCCAAAACTCAACTTTTAGCTTCTGAAATAATCACTGAGGTGATGCTGCTGTACATGTTCCCAGAGTCTCCGCAGCTCTGCTCTGATCTCTGCTATGTTCACATTTTACAGTGTCGTAACTCACCCAGTGGAAATCTGTCAGATCATCTGTGTCTGTATCGAGCAGTGTATGGACACTGTAAACCTGCCTACACAGGAGCATCTTACTGTCTGAATAATGAGTCCTTTAACTGTGAGGAAAACACTGCAGCGTTCTGACTGTGGACCAGGATTTAGATGGTGACAGTGTTAATTCTGACTGATATATTAGATTCAGTCTGATCTGAGTCTTCATACTAAAAAGTTTATTCGTTTTAGTTGACTTTTAGTCCTGAAGTTTTCTCTACATTTTTTCTCTTTAAACTAACTCATGGATCATAAATCAGACTCAAGGTGACAGGTTGTATAAAATAATGTGTGTGTTATGTCTCCAGCAGTGTGTGACAGGTTTAAGGGCTGATTTACGAGCACACACTTACTGATCATCATCTGAAAAGCTCAACATCTCTCTATTTATGCTCTTAACACATAACTAATGTGAGCCAACTAGGATTTGTCCCCAGGTTCATTGTAAACTCTGACTTATCCATGTGACTGTTAAGAAGCAGAAACATAACTTGTTTCTTCATGTGCAACATGTTAGTCTGGAGGTTTAAACTGGTGTCCTCTCACAGAGTTGGTGATTCAAACTAAACTTTCATCTCTGTCAGAGAAAACTGATCTGAGTTCAGACTGTTTACTTACAGCACAGCTACACTCACAGATAACTGAGCCTCCTACCTGCCTGTCAAACGCCATCAACCCACAAACCTTCTCCAGTCCGGACTGAGTGGAGTCCTGCGGGGTGAAGCTGTGAAGGCTGCGAGCGGAGCTAGCTGCTAACAGCCACCGCTGCAATTAACAAACTCCACAAATCCATTCAGCAGCTCCACCATCCACAGTCAGACACACACGGCTGATTATTTACTGCTGAGCTACAGCTCACAACTCGCACCAACCCAAACATCCTGGTGCAGACTATTTACTGGAGTTTACAGCCTGTCGCTCATCAGGCATCTGAAGATCATTACAAGCTGTCAGTGTCCGACAGTCCACCACCAACATTTACATCACGTCTCGTCAACAGAAATCAAACACAGATTTCACGTTAGTTTTTACTATCAAGATCTATTTTTAGCTCGTCATCATGTCGTTTTCGTCGCGGAAAAAAGGTCACGTTCATCAGCAAAATAACACTGGCTGATTAATGGCTTTCTGCTGCCTCAAAACATCAACACGGCGACAATGCACCTGACCATGACTCATTATAAGAGCTGCAGGTCGACGGCCACACCACCTGTCCTCTAAAATATCATTCCATAATATTTTACATTTCAGGTCTCAAACTTCTGCCCTGTTTTTATCAGGTCAGTGACAGAAACACCAGCAGAGACCTGATCAATTGACTGATCAAAGTTTTCTGATCAAAGATCAATAAAAAAATATAAGAAACCTTCCAGGACCCAAAGGCCAAGAAATTCTGACTGCTACAGGAAACCCTGCAGCGAAGCTACTGGCTGCTGTTTGATGATGTCACACTCATAGGTGGTAACATCAGCAGCTTCCAAAGATCAGCCAATAGCAGCAGGATGGTTCAGTACCTGGACTGACCTGAGGATGTCAAGCTTGGAACCAACAGAACACAGTTTTGGTACTCTGAAGGTCTTTGTCATCTCACCTTGGCGTCGTGGATCCCTGACACCTCCTCGAAGGTCTTTTCTCCCACCATGACGGCGGCCAGGTTGGCGGTGTAGCTGGACAGCACCAGCAGGCAGAAGATGGCCCACAGGTTCATCAGGAACCGACCCGTCCAACACTTCGGAGTCTTGGAGGACACGGTGCGTCCAAACAGGATGGCATAGCACAGGTTGAGAGCCGATGAGTACGAGAACACCCTCATCCTGTTGCGTCCATGAGGTGTCATACCATATGGACTCTTCCACTCGTACAGGGTGAGGAAGAGCGCCGTGATGTGCAGTGCCAGGAAGATGCCCACCCACATGGACCAGTGCAGGGGCCACATGAAGGCTCCGATGGGGGCTGCAGTATCCTTACTGCGCACCAGGATGCCCAGGCTGGTGGAGAAGAAGGGTGAGGTGAAGTCGATCACGCGGCTCCGGGCCGAGTTAATGCTAAAGGAGGTGACGGCCATGTCTGCTAGTCCATTAAGAAGATCCCCCACCAGCCCGGTCCAGCGCCCCCCCTTCCACGCTCCGTACTTTCCGTCCCCGACAATGTAAAGGTCGAACTCAAAGCCCAGGTCCTCCGCCAGCTTCTCCAGCAGGTCAATGCAGTATCCATAGCAACACTTGCTGTACTCTGCAGGCAGGAAGCTGCTGTTTCCCCCTGCCACCTCCCTGAAGACCCTCTCCAGAGTGTCCGAGCTGTTGGTGCCAGCGTCCAGGCAGTACTGGCCTGCTGGGCAGCTGCCCTCATCGTCCACGTCCCGCGTGAACACAAAGGGATGTTCCACCAGAGTCACCACCCGGACCCGACTCCCGGCCACCGGTATCCCCGGTCTCCAGCGGCCCCTAGTTCTCCCGCCTGCCCCTTCTGTCCTGTGGCGAGGTTTGGGTCCCTGCCAGACTCCCTGATCCTCCACCTGCAGCTGGCCTCCCTCCCAGCTGCCCACTGTCACCCAGGTGGGCTGACCCAGCGCGTCGCGTCTAAGGCTCCAGACATGGAAACGCTGCGAGGTGAGGACGTGAGAACGGTTCTGCTGGACTTGGACCGGACCCGTCAGACCAGAGAAAGATGTGTTGGACAGGAACCTTCAGGACAGAAAAAAAAACAGCAGGTAAAACACAGACCAGATGGGGGTGGGGCCTCTTAAACATGGTGTCAGTTCATTGGTCGATCATTGCAACAACTCAGTCGTGTGACAGCGGACAGAACGAGGCATCAGAGCCATCCTGAACCAGGGTCAGGTGAATTTCTGATGCAACTTTGTTCTTGTGAGAACATTGTAATGTCCTCGGGTTTTAGGAAGTTTCTTTTTTTCAGTCAATCAATTTTATTTATAAAGCCCAATATCACAAATCACAATTTGCCTCACAGGGCTTTACAACATACAACATCCCTCTGTCCTTATGACCCTCACAGCTGATCAGGAAAAACTCTTTTTGTAATCCTCTTTATATTGACTTATAAAACTATATAAACATAAACAAAATCCACAACCAGATATTTGTCCTTTTTCGTCCATTCGAGTTCATCCAACCTGACCAGGTATGTCAGTTTAAACTAGTGCTAGTGTAGTCCAGTGAAGATGAGTTTACATATCACCTTGGGTTCGTCCTTCACCTTCTCAAAATGATCCCACACTTTGGATTTCCTGCCCAACATGTTGTTAACTAGCCTGTGGAATAACCGCAGGTACCAGCCCTGGAAATTAACCTGACTTCTGTCTGTCTGCTGAGCATGGACACTTCCTGTGTCTGTCTTTTCAAAGTAAAGTCACACATGCTCCAGTCATATAGGTTTGGATTTATTTTGAAAAAGTAAGGTGATTTTGGTTTAAAACAGTTTCAAGGATCTCTGTGTCAGATGGGTTCTCCTGTTCTCTGTGTCAGATGAGTTCTCCTGTTCTCTGTGTCAGATGAGTTCTCCTGTTCTCTGTGTCAGATGAGTTCTCCTGTTCTCTGTGTCAGATGGGTTCTCCTGTTCTCTGTCAGATGGGTGGAAACTGGAGGGAATGTTGAGAAAGTGGATGAATCTGTGGCCCTTTATCGAAGATCACTGAATGAATTTAAGCAGGTTCATGAATTAGTTTTTGTCTGAGGAAATAAAGGAAAAAGAGAGAATTGATTGGTATGAACCAAAATGTCCACATTTGAGAATTTCCTGAAGGATGTTGGAAAATAGAAAACTTCTCAAACAGATACTCAGTCATTCATTGAACCCAAGGACAGTAGTCGGGTTTCCATCCACCTATTTTTATTCACATTTTGAACAATTGTGAAAAAAAACTTGAATGGAAACGCCAGAAATTCAAAAAAGGGCCAAAATATCGCAAAAAAATTTTTACGCTTGGAGGAGGTGGAAAAGTCAGCGTATCGATATTAGGAAAATGCGACTTTTGGCAATGGAAACAGATTTAGCGAATAAACAATGACGTAGGCTACCGAATCCTACTTCTACTTCACACACACACCTGTGTGAACTTCGAGAGAGGTAATTACTCCAGTGTCAGGTGAGTGTATTTCACAACTTACCTGAATAGACTGGATGTGTTGAATACCGCTGCATCATGTGCGCTGCCTGGTGTACCAACACAGACATCACGGCATTATGTAGGCTACGCTGACAACGCTGATATGAGTGTGATGAGAGCTCTCGCAATAGCCAAGAAGTTCCCAAGGAATCTCTCCATCTCATTGGAGTCATGGATGTGCCAGTAATTGTTTACATCAGTTGTGGACATGAGACGCTCTCAATGACATCATCTCACGGTGCCCTCTTCTTCTACGGGTGTTCATTTGCATTTTTATTTTTCATGAGAAGCGCCACCTTCTGCTCGACCTGTTGACTCCCAGTACTCGAAAAACAATAATGAATGGAAACGTGCTTAATTTGCATTTTCTTTTGCACATTCTCACAAAATTCACTTAAAATTTGCGATACATTTGGATGGAAACCCAGCTAGTGTCTCCAATGTTTCAAAGAATTCACGAGTCTCAAAAGGTTCAAAATCAGGATCAACCACTTCTGCTGCCTCAGCCCGTCTTAAAATTGCCACAGTAAAGGCTGCACAGGAAACATGCACTGGAAATGGAGAAGGCTCAACTAAACACCAGACTGGAACAAATGGAGTTGGAAATGAGTCTGGCTGAATCAGATGCAAAATTAAAGGTGCTGGAGAACTTTGAATTTCAAAATGAACAACACCTACCAACATCTGAAGCACAAGAGCAGCATGAGGGTGGCATGTATGAATATTTTGAAACTTAACAGGAAAAAGCAGATGTGACAGTGATTCCAGAAGCATCTGCCGTTGAATTTACTGAGCTTGGAGCGATTCCCAAAACCCCCCTCCAAAGATATCTGAACCAACAACCAAAACCACTAGCAAGCTCTCCGCAACAAAATAAGAAAACAGATATCATTCTACAACAGCAAGGCCCTACAGCTCAGAGTTCTCCACAAACAGCAACAGGTGGTGGGACTAACATGACAAACAATGGTGACAATTCCCTGACTGTAATGCAGAGACAAAATGACATTGCTGATTTATTGGCTTTGCAGCACAAGTATCACTGCCTGCACGTGAAATCGCAGTTTTTGATGGAAACCCACTTAATGATCAAACCTTGATGAGGGCATTCAACCGATAGCTACCAAGACACGTTGTATTACCTGCAGCAATAATGCTCGTTAATAGATATGTTTCAGGTTATTAATGTGAGTGATGTTATCATTTAATGAGTCACCTGATTCTCTGACACACACACACACACACACACACGCACAGCTCCAATCAGTATCACCATTGATCATCTGTCACAATTCAAAGCATTAAATATTAATAATAACTACAGAATGAAATTTCTGGAGAAATTGCGAGTGTGAATGCTCAAGCTGAACAACTTACTACAATGCTCCATGAAGAGTTGAATAACATCATGCATTTATGAATGATGAGGAATATTTGAAGGCTGTTTGAAAGGCTGATGCTACACTGCAATGCTGACTGAAATGCGTTCCGCCCATAGAGACCCATTATAATGATGATGATGGTGATGGTGATGATGATGATGATAATGATGATGGTGATGATGGTGATGGTGATGATGGTGATGATGATGATGATGATGATGGTGATGGTGATGATGGTGATGATGGTGATGATGGTGATGATGATGATGATGATGATGATAGTGATGATGATGGTGATGATGATGATGATGATGATGGTGATGATGGTGATGGTGATGATG